AGTTAACAAAATTCTGATGGTTAACTGATTGCAAACGAAAAATATCCAGCTGTTCACAAAAGTGAAGAAAAAGACATGTAATTTTACTTGAAGAAGATGAATGCAAAACCCCACAAAGCTGTGAGCATGGTCTATAGTTCATTGCATTTTGTAAAACTGCACAGTTTATAAGGTATTTTCTCCCGTCTTCTTAGCGTGCCTTCGTGGTGTAGTAGTCTGCATGCTGGGCGCGTATTCCAGAGGTCCGTAGTTCGATTCCTAGCGAAGGCGTTGCTCATTTTTTTATCTCTTCTGCTTTCAAAAATACCTAATGTCTCTATAAGTTGTTTTAATTTAATGTTCTCACCATCTTCTGTGTAACATAAGCTTACAAAACATTCCTGATGATCTAATTAATACAACGCTCAGTTTATAAGACTAAACATTAATTTCACTTCCCCTACTTGTTTTAATAGAGCAAGCACCGAAGCTCTTAACCAAGAGTCAACTAGGATAAATATTCAAACGAGATTGAATACCCCGATACCTGAGAGTGTTTAAAAATCATTTAGCGATCACACAGGCTGAGTTACACTTGATAGAATCGTTACGAGTACCGTTAACTGACGGGGCACCTTAGAAACAGTGATTCTAGTCCCTTATACCGTCCGTATAGCTTAAAAGGAAGAAACAGAAAGGAAAATTCTTCTAAACATGCAAGGGTTTCCCAGATCACGAATATCATTCACAGTGAGAGAAATCGTTCTAAAGCGCAATGGAGGGGAACTCGGTGCATGTTTTGAAAGAAAATGTGCAGGACTGATGAACAGTCAACGGTTTGAAACTAGGAAATATGAAAAAATAAGAAAAAAAAATTCATGGTAGGTGGTGAGAAGTACAAATGGTTTTCCTTTATATATTTGACGCCATTTCTTTTGATGATTAACCTTATATTGGGAAAAGATATAATTAAACAGGTAGACTGTCTACGGGGTCTATTATTTCTTGAGTCTTTCTTTCTAATATCTTTGGTTTTCGGTCATGCGCTGAACGATGAGAGAAAACCGTCGTTGCATAATTTTATTATACCCGTAGTTCTAAATAGATTTCGAAAAAGAGGTGTGATATACCACCTGACAAATGTAAAATGACGTGAGGCCTGGTTACGACAAGTGTCAGTTTTTATTGATAATGAAGAAAAGACATAAATAGTGAAAATATTGTCAAAAACGGGAGGAGGAAAAAGAGAAAAGGAAAGAAGAAAAAGAAAAGAGGATGATCTGAGTTTGTGGAATGAGAAGGAGAAAGGATTTTTTTTTTTGGGGGGGGAAGATACGAGTATGAAGAAAATAAAGAAATGGAGAATAGACAGAAGAGGGCTGCGTTTATTTTGTAACATGAAGAAAGGATAAATGACGATGTATGCGGTAAATCTCCAAATTTGTCCCATGGATGTGACGAATTTAGACTTATAAAATATATATTCTTTGCCTTAAATACAGATTAGACATTTAGATTCGCTTTGAATGAAGTTATATTTGTCCTTGAATGATTATCAACGGAATTATTGTTCGAGATTGCATGTAGTGTGCAATAGATAGAAAAAAGTCTGATGTGGCCACCACATGACTTCCTTGTAAGGCCTATTAAATTTTACACATTTTTGCCGCTCTTTATTCAAATTTATTTCCACGAATTATTCTAATCTAACCAAACTCTGAAAGCAAGTTGAAAATGACATCTGAAAACTGAATATTTTGAAATTAATATCCTGGTGAATTTTTGTCACACGGGAGTCAAACTTCTTCTAATTTTATTTTTCCATAGAAGATAAAATGTTTCCAAAGTATAGAAACTGGGAGACTGCATTAAAAATTAAATTTAGTTATTTATCGAAATTAAATTTAATTTTTAAATTTATAATTGCCAAAACACGAATATTTTCGTCATTTAAGCCACTTCTATAGCTGTAAGTTCATGGGCATGACGAACGACTGGGAAAATAATGGCCGGATAAGGACTTTTAGGCCAGGAAAGAAATAAAATACATGTACACATAATATATATAATATATATATATATATTAATACACAATCAAATGTAAGGAAGGATTATTAAGAGTCCTGCGCCTAGGCTGCAATGATTTAATTAAACATAATTATACTTAAAAGTGGATTACTCTTATTAAAATTCTTATAGTTTAGATTAAATTAAGAAAGTCAATAAAGTAAAAGAATACCTGAAGAGTCGGTGTATTGTTTCATTAAATTCATTCCATTGGGTAAAGCAATTTTTCCATGCCGATTTATATTTTACTATTTAACACTTGTAAAACTTTTTAAAATTTAAAAAGTTTTAAACATTATTTAAAAATTACGAATTCGTAAACTGGAATTTATTGGGACTTCAAATTGTAATTCTTTTACTTTAATGGCTTTTTTAATTTAATTTGAAATATAAGAATTTTAATAATTTAATGGAGTAGGCCCTATATATATATATATACATACACACACACACACACACAGATACGTTTGGCTATGCAATAAAATGGGAGGTGCACAGCTATTGGGACAGCTGTTATAGCAGTCCCATGCAGAAAATTTCAACATTCTACGGCTAATCATTTTTGCAGTTATGCGAGATACATACATATATACGTACGTACTTACAGATGTCAGGGAAAAAAACCTTTGAATCCATTTTAAATCTATTTGGGAAAACAGCAGTCCTTTATTCTGTCGTACGTACAAAAGTCACCCAAAAAATTCGTCCAGATGGATTCGGGAATGGTCAAAGTATGTATTTCTGTGGAAGTATGATACCCGAAACTTTTAGCGGTAAGACTATTTCTTTTACTTCTTGCAAAAAGTAAAAAACGGGATGTGAGCATGCCAGCTCTATTTTTAAGAGATCTGGAGTTTCTGGCCCGTTTGTGACATGTTGACTGACTATCTATTTGATGTGTTCCTGCCTACTGCGATTTAGGTAGAGACTGCTTCTTGTGGGTCAGAGTTGATTCTGCCTTGTCTAGGATTCTAGAACGCTGATATGGGCCTGACAAAGCGCAAATTACTATTTTCCTGGAATGACATCAACTGAAATATTACGTTCGAAACAGTTATTTAGTGCATAATGGAAGGGGGTGGTGGATGTGATAAACTCTGGATGAAAAGCTCTGGCTTTTTGGCTTTCGATTAAGATGTAAGATGCGCAGGAATAGTCTTGTCCACTGCTATTTAAGAAGAAATTAATTCTCGAGAGTTTTTGTTCCTGAGGCTTCGATAATTTGAACCTGCATATTGCCATCTTGAGCTCAATGGTTACAGTCGAAAATATCACGGCAAAAACATCGCGGACGAAAACGTCGCGGGGAAAACAACACAAGGCGAAAACGTCGTGGTACGAAACGTCGTGGGAGGAAAGAAAGCAAAGAGAAAATTTCGCATTTCTAAAAACATCGTGGCACAAAATATCGTCATCGAAAATAAAGCGGTTCAGAAACTTCGCAGTTTAAAATCATCGTCGTCGAAAATATCGTGGTAAAAAATAAAGCACCTACAAATCATCGCATGACGATAACATCGCAGACATGCGTTTTTCAGCTTTTAAAAGTTGTAAATGCATATTCGCATAAAGATTTGAAAGCGCAAGAAATTTTAACGACACTAAGAATAAACGGAAACAAAACAAGATATAATTTTCACCAAATTATATCTTGTTTTGTTTCCGTTTAAAATTAAAAAACGTGAAGTAAAGTAATTTGATAATTAACTATGTAATTTTTATAAAGATTATTCATCTTCACGCAGTTATCTTCTTTTTTTCTAAATATTTTAGGCTGTATTTTTCATGAAAAATATGAGTAAAACGGTATAAAAATATTAATTTATTAATGATATTTGTTAATTAACTATGTAAATTAAAATTTTGTTAAGTGCTCTAAGTTGCATTAACTTTCTACTCATTTTCAGTTTTAAATGTTTAAATTTCCTTCTTTTTCATTAAATTTTATTAGTTCATTCAAAAATATGAAATATAAAAGCAAAAATATTCCTCTTTTCTTCTTGCGTTCCCAAATCATTATGTGAAAATACATTTACAGCTTTAAAAACTTGAAAACGCATACTTGCGGTGTTATTGTCATGCAAAGATTTGTAGGTTCTTTATTTTTTACCACGATATTTTCGACGACGATGTTTTTAAACTGAGAAGATTTTGAACCGCTCTATTTTCGATGACGATATTTTGTGCCACGATGTTTTAGAAATGCGATGTTTTCTCTTTGCTTTCTTTTCTCCCACGATGTTTTGTAGCACGACATTTTCGTCTTGCGTTGTTTTCTCCGCGATGTTTTCGGCGGACACCGATCTATACTGAGAATCCTTTGAATCCTGTTGTTTCCTGAGACGATTTTACACTGTTTATAAGAATGATGAAATTTGGTGTGCAATGTCAGGGCTATCTTTTGCAAAGAGCAGTGTTTCAAAATTATGCCTATTAACAATCAGGTAGAAAATTCATTCTTCATTTACAGGCCAGGATTTGTTACACAAGACTTTCCTGAGATATTAAAATTTTACTGAAGATTGATTTAGTAATAATTTAGACCCATATAATGAGTTTAATCTGAAATATTTAAAAACTGAGTGAATAATTTAGTGAAAATATTATAACATATATTTTTGTTTTTAAATGTTTATCTTATTTAGTTGTTTACTGTTTTTAGATCCACTGTTTTAAGGACCTAAATTGTTTTTTCCAAGCTTGCCCTTGAGCAAGAGGTGGCAACGCTAGTCACGACAGTCTCATTTGGGGAACTTACTCGTAAACCGATTGATCCGTCAATCAAAGTTCAACTGTACTTCATTGTGTTTCATTTTGACCAGTGTTTAGTTGAAATATTTTTAATTACTTTTGAGATGATGACGATATATTTTTTTTTGAAATCATAAACCTTTGCATATGATGAAACCAAAATATATATGACCGAAAGTAAAAAAGAAACAGGATGCACGTACTTGCACATTCCTTCTATTTCAAGTTGAGTTGTGGGAAACATGTAACGAACTTCATTCAGCACTGGTTGCATCATTCCAGTACAATTGTGCAGCTTCCGATCGCAAGCCTCTTTACATTCTATAATCCTCAGATGACCTGAAAAATAAAACGTTTCCAGCTGATATAATTGACATAATAAAAATGTTAAACAAAGCTCAGAATTTTCTATTGAATATTTTTTTAAAGCAATAGTTTTGAAATAGTAGCGAATGAATGCGGAAATGTATTTTTTAATCTACTAATATAAACTAAAAAATAAAATACACAAAAAATTTAAGGTTTTGTGATTTTATTTTAAAAAAACTAAAAACTAAAAATAACGTTTTAGCTGTCATAATATCCTTTGTCGTATGTGGCTAAAACATTGCTTAGGTGCTAAAGATATGTCTTACAACTCAAAATTGTCAAAAAGAAGGAATTCTCATTTGTTTTCGAGCACTTGTATTTTCGAAACTTATTTGCATTAGTCTGTACTAAATATTGAAACACAAACTCAAAATCTTTTTTTCTAATATACTATTTTCACTCTATTTCAAGCCTCGTGTGTTACAAAATAAATGTTATCAAAATATTTCTTACAGTAAAATAATTTATTTAAGAAGTGTTTATCAATAATTCACATGACAATTCGGACACTCGAAAGTTTGTTGAGATATTTTTGTTAAGAAGTGGAGCTTGTCGAAATTCTTTATTTTAAACAAAAATACGTCACAAAATTATTTATCTGCATTTTCAACAAAATATATTAACATTTCCATATCTAAAGTGAACATGGCAAGACGCTAAAAACTAAAGACAAATCGTGCTAAAAATTTAACAATTCACAAAATCTAAAAATAGTAAAAGTGTTCAAAAAGCCCAACAAATCTTTCATGTAATACATCTAACTATCTTTGGTGTATTAAAAGGATGAAAATTGCTTAGAACTGTTAAAAATGTCCGAAAGTCTGAACCATATTCCAAACTAACGCGAAGGTATTAGTATTTGAATATATATGGGTCCGCTAGGCGAATTGCAAAGTCGAAAGAAAAATTGAATCTTTAAACTCTACAGTTAAGTACTCTGATATATAAGCAAGTCTATGTCTGAAAACTCTACTGTTAAGCACAAGGATGGAACAAAATTATTGAGAGATTTTAATGAAAATCTGAAAACATCTTGAAGAAAACTTGGAATGCAAAATACATTCATATTCTGTCAAAATAACGATCCTAAACATGCAGCCTTAAATGTTCGCTTGAGGTATACAACTGTCCTATTATACAACTGTCTCGAAGTTATCAAAATTGTTTCCTATTCTTTGCACTTAAATCCTATTGAACATGTATGGAATGAGTTGACGAGAAAGAATATGGAAACATGACATTTCTTCGAAAGCTCTACTAAAAGCAATTCCTGTGAAGGAACAGTATAAAATAGATATTTTTACATGAAAACAAATTATTGAATCGATGAAAAAGTGCATGAAAAGTGTAGTTTTTAGCTAAAGGATATCCAACGAAATATTGTATGTCCAGTTATTTTCATCTTTGTTTTCAATATAAACTGTTTCTACATAGTGTACTAATATTTATATGAGCTCAACTTTTACTGTGTAACTTTTTGAATAAACTATTTCTTTGTTCAAAACACTTTGAATAGTTGTATTCAAAACAAGCAAATTTTAAAAGGAATGATAGGATAATACATGTAGAATTAAAATAAAGATAAGACGCAAGAGAAACACGCCGACGTGGAAAATAAATCAGGCAAATCGACAACCTTGTATTCGGCGCAGATTTTGTAAAATCCCAATCGATTTCGAGGGCAAAACGGGTCCTCTTTCATGAAGGAGACCCGTTTCACCCTCAAAATCGATCAATTGATTTGCCCTTGACGAAGGGGGACCTGTTTTGCTCTCGAAATCGATTAGGATTTACAAAATCTACGTCGAAAACAAGGTTGTCGATTTGCCTATTTTATTAAAATAAAATAATTTCGCCAATATTTAGTAACTAATATTCGCCAATAAAACTATGTAATTTCTATATAACCACCTCTGTTTTCCCTTAAAATTCTGTTAATGTTCTAATTAATACATTTCGTATATGGTCATCCAGCATAACAACGGTGCTAAAAGATATTTCTTACTTTTTAGTACATTTAAATAAAATCATTTAATTAAAACATTATTTTTATTACTTTACTTTCCTGTGTATATAAGGCATAAAAGTAATAAGAAAAGGAAATACATTGTCTCTATGAAAATTGTTCATTCAATCAGCGTCGCTACTAAGTACAGGCGTTGATATCTTTCTTCTAAAATCTTCCGTTCCATCTGATATCGTTTAAATTTTGGTCTGATTTTAAATCCGATTTCGTCATCTCTTAAAATCATGCATTAATATTGAAAGGCTATAAAATGTTTTGATTTAAAAAATTCATCATTATAATATCCACAGCTAAAAATAGTCGTACGATTTTTGAAAAACCGCAATAATTGATTAGCGTGCTTTAGAAACACAGAAAAATCTTCATTTGGAGAATTTTTTCGATCTCTCTAATGAAGATCGAAACTCGATGAATAGTTTGGGTGTTAAAATAGGATATATGAGAAAAGCTATATAAATAAAAAATAAATCGAAATAAAATTTTGAAATATTCACATTATAACTTTGTATGTCAAATTCTGAAATATTTACATTTCAAATTTGTATGTAAAAACATTTTACGAAAATTGCGTGGGTAGAAGGGAGTCAAAAAGTAATTGCAAATTTGGATCCAAACAAACGAGAGCCAAGTTAAAAGAAAAACTGGGTAAAATTAACTTAAATCAGCTCAAAATCGTTTCCATTTTATAGCCAAAAATTCACATTTGAGGTCTAAAAGATAATTCTTATTGCCTCACGTTCTTACAATGCAAAAAATATAGTTTTTTAAGTATGTTCCATGAATCTAAAAGTTTGGAAAGTTATATTCTGAGAAATCTTCATAAAAATCTTCAAATAAAGTAACTAATTTATGTTAAGAAAGCAAGTCACAGTGTCTAAATATGGCGGGTTGTTTACGTAATTGTTGATTTCACATCACAGGGAGAAGTAATTTGTCAATTGATCATTTAACCTTGAAGAAAACTCCTATTAGTTTTATATCAAATATAGTAATTAGAACATGAATAGGAAATTTCGACTAACTAAAAACCAGAAGTACACGTCAAACAGTCTTTTAGCCTTGACATAACTTAGTGGTTAGTTTTGCTTCAAGTATAGTAGTTAAAGCAATTAGGAAACTTCGCATCATAAAACTCTTCTAAAGCTTCTTTTCGTTTCACAAGTGTAAATTTTCTTAGATTTCGTGAACGTTCGTTGTTCATGTAATGTATGCAGTAGGATTTTCTAAAGCACATTCAATCAATATTGTTGATAAAAATTTCATTATAATGAGCTACAATTAACTAAAAACTAAACGTTCCTCTAGTCTTTCATCTTCCGAAACTCTCGAATCTTTCAAATGATAATAATAAGAAAAATAGGAAAGAAAATTACTTCGTTTTTAATTAAAGCAAAATTTGAAACCTGTATTTGATAAAAAGCAGATTTAAAAAGTTTCTAAAAGTATTTACTAATTATACTTGTAATATATTTATTAATACAGCCTATATTTATTAATAAGATCCAAATTAAATTTAGTAATGAAGTAAATAACTAAAAGTCTTGAAATCTGAGGTTTATTTTTCTTAACAATTGGACAAAAAAAATATACGAAAAACTTCAAAATCCCATTAACACTTCAAAATTGACTCCAAAACACGCGAAGGATATCTGCTTAAGGAAAGGAATGCCTTCGTGACGAGATACATTTTTTTGACGAAAAATAATTATTTGAAGAAATGTTGCACTTAGAAAGCATGCACAATGTCCGAAAAATTAAGCAGTTTTCCTAAATTAAAACTGAAACTGGATGAAAAAGAGTGAGATTTTATACATAATTGGAACAATGATGTTATTTTTAAATCTGAAACAAAAATAATCTAAGTTTGCTTACTGGGAGCAATGGCAGCAATATGACGTATATTCGATAATAAACAGTGTGAAACCTTTCGTAGCATCCTCTCAAACAATCAACAGTATTTTTCAAAAATATATAAATAAATAGGCTTAGATTGTTTGAATAAGGCGAAGTAAGGATTAATTGTCAAAGGGGGAGGATGTTTCCCGGGAAAGTGGCTCGTATCTACGTGACACATGAGGAAAAGTACGAAAGATAGTTAGCCCATTCTTCAGAATTTGAGCTTGGGTCTAACTACCATGTTCAGTGACTGATCAGCAATTTCTGGCCAAAGTTTTATTTCATCATTAAATTTCAGAGTTGTAGAGCCGTGAATAATTAGTTCAACTGATGGACAACTGGAATCACGGCGCGAAACAGCAGTTATCTAGCCTGGCAAGTGCTGCTAGAAATATCCAGCACGTATTAGTAATAAGACATCTATGTTCAGAACTATTGAGATGATTTTAAAGTTACTGTCAGGAATTCTCGGCAAGGCATAGTGTACCGATTATTTGAAAATTGAGGCAGGTTTCATTAAATGACATGTTGATATAGTGTGGCGTTTAAGGCTACAAAAATGTGATACTGAGAATCCGACTAGCACTAAATTGAAAACATTATTTAAAGAACATTATCATTAAGACATCAATTAGTTCCAAAATTTCTTGCTGAAATGTTCGACGATTTTTTAGGTTAGGATTCTAAAGGTTTGAATGACCGAAAAATGCATGAATATTCGAAGAATGCGAATGTACCATCCTACTAAACACCAGAAGACTGCAGTACAAAAATTTAATATTTGCTTGTAATGGCTTATTATACAAGTTATTCATTGCCATATTCCCTATCAGGTTATTCCAGGACTTCATTCTTATATATGAAATGAAAATAATCACTTAGCTTGTGACTAATTAAAATGTACTTCGATAGAAAACTCATAATATGCCCTATGTGATAAATTTACTTCTGTGAAGCTGTATGTCTATGCGGAATATTTAAAGTTCCTTATTTTGGATAAGAATCGAGGCTTAAATTATTGGAGATAACGACTTCATCTTAAACTACGATAAGAAAGCCATTTCTTTATAAAACTTTCCTTCCCCATACTACTTCGAGAATTCAGTGATTTTATTTATATTTTTAACTTCACATTATAGAAACAATTGATCTCGATACTATCAGTCAGTCAGTGCTAGAAAAGCTTTCCTTCAACGTAAACTAAGAGTAATGTTTCCAGAGTTCTAGGAATTTAAGTATAAGTTTTTTATTTTGTTAATTTTCATCAATATTACAATGCAGTTTTTCGATACATTCCCCATTTAATTGAATTACGTTTATGCCGCAGAAAAACTAATTTTGTAATCTGTCCTCAAAGAATTTATTCTGAATTCCCTTAATTCACCTATTTGTGGCATGATCCAAGGTTTTGTAAAATGTGAGAAGAGAATAATCTATGCAGAGGTTGAACAATTTTAGAAATTTTCACCCCTCTTTCTCCAAAAGTAAAAAGATTGCTCTTCACATCTTCCATGGTTGCAAAAACAGTGCTGCAAAAACTCGCATGAATCAGTCAAACAACTTAATCTAACTAAACTACATGAGATAGCTACAAAAACATATCAAGACTTTATACGGTGATCATTATTTAAGCTAACCAATAATTTATAATTTCAATCTTTATTATAACTTCTCCTTTCTGTTTCCTCACCAGAATGCAAACCAGTTAGCCAGTATTCAAGTTGAGGTTTTTGAATTATAAAACAGAGCGTTTTTCTGCCTTTCCAGGGGACGTTAGGTTAGTTCCTGCCAGCTCTGATTAAGTTTGTAATTATGCGGCTTTAGGTTATTGTTACCGAAATTTGAGTTTAATACTCCGGTTAAAACTTCTGAGCTAATTTTGATTAAAGTTTAATTCTGTAGTCTTTGATTACTATTCTGCGTTTTAAATAGATTTTGACTATTACTTTAGCTGTACCACCACGAGTTGTAGCGACTTTATGAGCAAAAGACAATTAATTTTGCTCAAAGCTGATGGCCTAAAGCGTTTCCTGTAAATCCTAAGAACTGAACTAGAGCTTAATTTCTAGAACTTTGGAAACACTCCTATATACTTGCTGTATAAATAAGGTAATCGGATACGCGCCTGCTCATTTTGAAGTTGCATTCTTTATGCACTTTAGTGCTGTTTCAGACTACCTTACTATTCTTAATCTGATGGAATTGGTGACTTTTCTGTTCTCCTGGTTTATTTCATTAATCGCTGATTGTCTCTTGATACCACTGAGTTTCCTTTAAACTATAGACAGCTCAAGGGACATAGTGCTCAAAATGAGAGTGTTGTCCAAACACAGCTGGTGTATGCTTTTCTCCTCAGCTGCTATAAGTTTTATTTCTCTGACTCTTTATAAATTAAACGACATGAATTGCTAATTAGAATATAATTGTACTCGTCCAAGGATCAGATTTGCATCTTAAAGACCAAATGTGGTCTTTCAAATGTAAGATTCCGTATTTTCAGTTTCCTCTTTTATGCAGTATTTCACATTGGTTTGGTTTGGTTTATTTGATTATGGCAAAGAACGTAATTATGACAAAGCACTTGTCAGTTATCTGCCCTCCACAAAGAGTTTCTTGAAGCAGATAGTTTTCTATACATAAGTTCTAGCGAAATTTAAACAGAAAGCATTTAAATTTAAGCACATAAATAGCCTTACCGTCTAGAAAACATTTCTTCATAACTCCATGGATCGCTTTTTTTGGTAATAATTACCTGCATGATCATCATGATACATCTTTGAAGTGATGGATTTAAAGGTTTGGTTCCTGAAAATTCCATGTCACTTGCGCGAAACGTGCAGTAATTGATCTGCTATTGCAGAGCATTATCATAGTCTATATAGAAGGAGTCACATCGCAAGCAAAGCAGAATTTATGTTGTCCTGGAAATTAATTTAAAACAACTTTTGATCATTCAACGCGATGCCGCATTTTGAGCAAAGATGCTTGAGATCATTTAATTGGAAACAGATCTCTGTCATGCCACAACCAAAATATTTGCCACATTTCTTTCCCTCGACTGTTCTCTTTTACTAAGATAGCGCTTAAATCAATGCTTATAGAGAACTCAAGTTATCGAAACTTAGGCGACGGCCGCGTGTGATAGATATCAAAAGGCACATACTAACAATTTTGCAAGAATATGAGAGGTGTTAGAGCAAATGTTGCATGTTCCATATTTATTTGTGGATTAGGCAATTGGTTTTCATGTTTCGTTAATACTCTATTTAATTTTATCTTTATTTTGATATTTACATAAGCTTTATAAGTATTTTCTGAAGACATTTATTTTAAACACAAAACTATTATAAACATAATTAGGTTCAGCTCCTTAATTGCTGGGGCTTAAATGGTAACGCTCTATTCAGGAGTAATTAACTTGGAGGCTACTGTTATTTAGAGCACATCTAAAAAAATAAATATTTTTAATATAACGGGGGAATTTTCTTTTACACCTACAATATTTTGTTTAATTACTTTTAATACCGTAGGCGACGCTATGTGATCGCGGGTAATGTTATGATTCGGATAATGTTGTCGAACTACCCAAGTCCCGTCCGTTTGTGTACAAACACATGGAAAATACACGGCTGATTTCAGTCAATGTAGATTTTGAATAACTTTATCGATTTTGAAGGTGCTGAGACGCAGATCTGTCTTCTTTAGAATCAAAACAATTTCTGCATATTTTCCCTTCTTTAAAAAAAATCTTGCATTGACATATTCTGTTTTAATTTGATTAAGTTGACCATGAAAATGAAATTTTTTTTTCCAAAAGTTAAAGAATATGCATTGGACTAACGAGCTTATCGGAATTTGCCAGTATTTCTGAAACAAATTTAAGCAAATAGCTTGACAAACTTTATGAAAATGACTATGTCGATATCTTTGAACATACTACAAAGGATGAGATGAGGATACCTTCCGATTATTAAGATTACAGGTACAGAATCAGTCAAATATTCACCCAAAACATTATGAACAATTCATAAGTGAACTTTTGCGTAACACTTGCAGACATTCCGTTCGTAATGACTTTCTTTCTAAGTAAAACGTTAGACGGAAAGAAATAAAAATAAAAATTAAAGGTTTATAAAGCTCTGAGGAAGGAATTTAATGTAATCCTATTTCTACTATTTCTTCAAGTGGTACAATAGCTTAACGTTGGCTTCATGTTTTAAGTTCGTGTTAATTCTTCACTGCCAGCTTTTCCATTACGATTATCAACAGACAATAAAAAATGATTACGAACACTCTATGTATGTGCGGCTTTTGAAGCTCTTGAAATAAAACGGGTTTGTATTTTCTAGAGTTCTTATGCAAAACAATAAATTGAGTTTGTACTTTTTGTAATTCTTATGCAAAGCATGAAAATAGAATTTTTTTCAACTTTTATTTTTAGCTTGTTCTAACTCTACTCTTATGCTCTTGCCTAAATATATAGCTTAAATATTTAAATTTCTTTGAGATCATGTGACTTAACCTAAAGTTGTAAATTGCTTTGGGTTTGGTTTCTAGTTGTGCTTAGAAAGAATGAAAACATGTCTTCGCTGATGCGATTACAAACATTTATTCTGCGCAGAAGTAGTAGACTTGTATATACAGTGACGTAGCTAGAGTTCCCAGCGTCCGGGGACAATTGAAGAATTTGCGCCCCTTCCTGTGTGCCAAGAATGGAAAACATTTCATTAAAAAATTTCGTTGCATCAATCTGGCGCCCCTTGGATGCTGCCCCGGGACAGATGTCCTCCCTTGCCCCACTCTAGTTGCGCCACTGTGTACATAACATTTCAAGATTTCATTTAAAGATTCACAACATAATATTCAGTACATTCATCAAATACATGTTGTAAATTTTAATATCTACATCTATATACCCGATAAAAGTCTGTAAGTGAAAATCTGCTTTCTTGATTAATTTTCTGTGAAGGATAACTTCTTAGATGAAAGCCACAAATACTTAATTAAAGCGATGTTTTATCTATCATAATATTCATGGTCGTATGTGGTAAGAAATAAAATAGTGGGACACTCATATAAGAGCTATATGGGGACATTAACAATATTTTAAGTAGCAACAGAAGTGATAATATAGATATGACATATATACAAATGATTGCATTCAATACACTTAAATTTTTATTTACAATTTACCCTTAAAATTCGCTATTATTTCTTAGCTAAATTATTTTTTTAGTCTTACATGAAAAATAATATTATATTTGTTAAAAATTGTATTTTACTGTATGGTACATTCATCTTAAATCCTTAAAAGACCTTTTTATATTCCTTATTTCATGTTTTTAGAATACTGAAGAAGGGAAAATGATTGTTTCTTCTAGGCCTTTTAAGAAAATTAATTCTTCTAATCAATATGGCAACAAAGCGTGTGATGTTCTCTTTCTTTCAAGGTTTTCCGGGGTCTTAAGGTAACATTCAATTAATTTAAATTTCTGTCTTAATTTGAAACTCCGGTCTTATTAATACTTAAAATTGATGTCATACTATTGATAATGAAAGCTTAAATATTTCGACTTAAAAATCCGTACTCGTAAGTAACCACTTGAAACTCCGCACAAATTTTCAAGAAAATCGATTTGGTGCAAGGGAATCAAGAACTAATTTCAAGTTTTTATTCCAATAAACGAAGAAGGAATCCAGATTAAATAAAAGCATGTAAAATACGATAAATCAATTATTAAGAATTTTTCTTGAGCAGATAAGAATTCATGGAATATACAATTTTCAAAAATTAATTAAAACCTTTTTACTTACCTAACGCGATGAGCACTAGCACTGCTGTTGAAGTTTTTAAAAATAAAGACAGCATTTTAATTAATCTTCTACACTAGATTGCAGAAATTTTATGCTTTCAAGTCTAATGTTAAATTCCAGTGGCAACACAACTTAGGAGATCATCTTTATAACTTACAATATTTTAAAAAAATTCTTGACATATTTCACTGCTGAAGATCACCACTATATTTTTAAAAGTAAATTAAAACTGTGCATCAAACTACTTTTCGAAGTTGTTCCGGTTAACTAAGGACTTCGATGCATACCCTAATGTAGGAACAGCGAATGTGTTTCAAGGTCAGAATTTACTAAGCAAAGAGGTAAAAGCTATTATGCGATTTGAGCAAATCGCTGACGTTATCAATAAAGCTGTAAACAAGTAAATAACTGGAAAATGTCTGAAACATCTGCCATCGCAGAAGCGTGTAGTTTGCAAAATACTTCAGGCGGGGTCAAACGTGCTATTCTTCTGGTAGCACCAAATTCTCTGGCTCGATGACCAACAGAGCGCAGTTCCAGGACGTCCGCCATATTGTGATGATGGCATTTTTTGCCCCGAAATATTTCTATTCCTATAAAGGCGGTGACATCCAATAGTCCGTCATGTTAGATAGTGAATGGACTGCGTGTATAGAGCGGGAGGCGGATTCATTGCTGAAGCATAAGAACAATCACAACTTTAAATGTACCGTTTGTTGAATCACTCTCCGGGGCCATGGAACTTGGAAGTCTACCAACAGATTTCAGTGTATTTATTATTTATTTAATTCAGTTACTAAATGAAATTCGAATAGCTGTTGTCATCCGGTTCTCACGTTGTCGAGATTATAAAAAGAAGAAATGAAATATGACATGGGCATCATTTAGTAAAGAAAGTTCAACAGCGTAACCAGCATGTTAGAATTTCAAATAGCATTTTACTGTTGACCTGTCATAGAATTATTTTTTGAGGCGAAATTTTATATTTGGCTAACTATTAATGTTTATCATTGCGCTTAATTCATGAAGTTTAAACGATGTTAACGTGAAACAGAATAAATTTTAAGAAGTATTCTTACCATCTTAGGTTTAGTAAATCATTTAACTGGGATTTATTTTTATGGTCTTCAGATTTAAATATATAGATTATTCATCAGGGCATTGAATCTGTTACGGACAACGTTTGCCTTCATTTGATGTCTGTAATTTCATTTCCGTTTATTTGCTACATTTATATGATTTATCTGATACTATGAATTCCTTTATTATCTACAATTTTAAACAGTTAAAAGTAAAGAACCTTACACAATTAGGAGGGTAACTACTACTTAAGTACTACTACTACTTATTTTGGAAGTTACTAAATAGGTGTTTGTTAGCAAAAAATTTTACAATGATTTATTTATCCTCGGAAATAGCAAAATCTCTTGAAAAGCAATTTCATTTCATTTAGTTTGGAACTATTTGGCTTCTATTTCTGCTTTCAGCATAACGTATTGTAAATAAATTTCAATATATTGAAAAGCTAAAATTGTATTCATTGAGAAAAAATTTAACGACTTCCTTGTATAAATTGCACGTAACAAAACAAAAAGCAAACGAACCAAAACGAAACAAAACAAAAAAAAAAAAAAAAAAAAAAAACAGAAAACTTTCTTTGTCTTATAAATCACTAAATGAAATGAAAAACTTAAATTGAAGGCTCTTTCTAGAACTGAAATCTTATCAGCATTTAATATTTTAAACTGCATTTCTGTCAGTCTATTGCAAAAGAGGAAAAAGGCAGTCGATCTTAAAGACAATAAACTGATAACATAGTAAACAGAAATTGGGAAATCAGAAATGTCCCAATTAACAATAATAACAGTAATAATAATATGGTAATGATAAAACTAAAGAAATAATACTTAAGTAATGTTAGAATTGCATAATGTCCTAATAAAAGAATGTCATTTATTTTATTTTTTAAAATATGAAAATATTTTTAATGACATCGAAAATTTATGATATTTTTATGAAAATAGAGGGAAAGAAGGAATAATTTATTAATACAATATAAAGCTTTCAGAAGTTTTATACTATTAAATTTTACCAAAGTATTTAACTTTGAATTTTACTTTAATTGACAAACTTATTTTCCTAAATTAAAGACTGTTTCAATTTATTGCACCTACCAAAAAAAACCAAAAATCTATGTCTTATATATTAAAAAATGAAAAATAAAAACTTTTTAAAACATTAATATTTTGTAACATAAACATAACCTATTTTATAAACGTTAATAGCATTTTCATCAATAATCTAAAATCTATAAAATTATTTAAAATTTGCTGTTATTAATAAAAGCACATTTATTGACATTAAGCAAATAAATTGCTAAATTTTATAAACTATTAATATAAAAAATAAATGTTTCTTTAAAATGATAATAAGCGAAACAATCTAAATTTTTCTTTTTCAACGAAATTCAAAGCTAATATGATGATGTTATACACTTTTCTCGGGCATCGCGTGACAAAACATATTTTGAGCCTTTGGTAGATCCAAAATTCTAGTTAAAAAATTTGATGTGGACACTACATGATTTCCTTGTACGCCGTATTAAATTATACACACTTTTTGCTGCATTTCATTTAAACTTATTTCCTCGAGTTTAATTGGAGATATAATTCGCATTCAATTAATTCAGTTCTCACTTCGCGGCAAGGCAAAAATACATAAAAACTCAAAACATCTTAATTAAAAATTCGAAAATATCGAAAAACATAAAACACTATATACAGTTAAAACAATTAAAAAACAATTTTTACAGTTAAAATGAATTGCAAAAACAAGCAATTCAGACAGCGGAAAGAAGGCAGATTTTTCAATTCAGAAAACTGAAAATTTACTTTTGGTCCTACTCGGCAAAAAGACACTGAAGATGCAGAAATTGACTTTATTTACTACTTTGCACAGTTTCAAATGTAAACAAATATGGCTGTTCCCTTAGGGTTAGCCGCACTTAAACAACTTTCAAACTGCTGATAAATCTGCAACTATTGCATGCAGATTAATTAAAGACATAAAAACCTTAAACGGAACACAAGAACAATATAATTTAATGATCTTTAAAGTAAAATATGCACAGTTTACCAACATCTAAGGATACAAAACCTGAGCTCACCAAGCCGAGTAACAGAGCGGGTATATATTATATGTAAAATATAAAAAATACGATGCCTTTGCTCTAAGCGAACAGTCAACCTCTAATTAACTTTCCGCATTCCCTAGATCAGTACTTTCGAGAACTTTTGGCATGTTATGTAACCGCTGGTATAAATACAGAGTACGCGCCATTTTTCGTCAGACTGCTTCCTACTATTGCTGCGACAAGACTCTGCGCTGTTTTGTCCATCTTTCTTACCTTAGTTAGAATATTTATGATGTCAAAAGCCTAGATTTCGTCTTATTTAACTTAAAACACTATTTGATATGTAATTTGGAGAATTCATCTAAAAGAAAAATGATCTGCCATTTGAATTGAATAAAGATATGCAATTAAAAGCAAAATCCTCCTGTGTCATCATTTTGTCACTCAGCCAAACAACGCCCGGACTCTGATACCAAGCTTCGTTATTCCTATGCCTATCTGCATAATCATAAGATATATATATATATATATGTATATATATATATATATAGAGAGAGAGAGAGAGAGATGTATTTTTGGTGTGCCCGATTATAACCAAAAAATGAGGTGCACAACTACATGTTATAACTGTCCTATATACGAAATTTCAACGTTCTGAGGCTACTCGCTTTAGAGTTATGCCTGATACATACATACGTACGTACGTACGGAGGAAAAAAACTCTTCTTAATCCATTTTACAATTCGTTTTAGGAAAAAGAGTTCTTTATTCTGTATTCGGGCACGTCGTGGAGGTTAAACCTCCACTATTACCCTCCAGCAGAGCCGCGCACCTCCTGGATACGTCACCAGGCAGCACCGGTCGTCAATTGCTCCTGCCAGTCGCTCGGGCGAGCCCGTCGCAGCGGGACATTACCCAGCGACCCCGGGGGAAATCCCCACGGGTTACTAGCACCACGCCGCGCTAGGACGTGCCAGACTCCGAGGCCGGCCAATAAGTGACCTTTCCCAGAGCCTTCAGAACCACCAAGCTCATAAATTTTATACCCCCGTGGCCGAGACTGCCTAGGTACAGATCCTAGCCAGTAGCTTCGCAGAGTTCTCTACGTCGACCCCCGGGGGGGACCTCTGTACTGGCCCAGGGTGCAAAACCACTACACCACGAAGACACGCTAGGAAAGCGGGAGAAATACCTTATAAGGTCAAACATCAAAATTTGACTTAACAGGTTTTCCTTTGATAACTCAAAGCCTTTGATAAGTCATTCAAATTAGTTTTGAAGCTAATGTTGGATTTGATTGTACTCTGAAAATGAGTGACAGTTCACCTGAATTGTTTCCTTCTGGTGTTATCGTAAAATACTCTAAAGGTAGAAATGTTTTCATATCATTACCTTGCTCTCTGCGTTTTTTGGTACAAAAATATTGTTGCAGTCATTGTTGGCCCACTAGCAATACTGAACTCGCACACATTTCAGTAAGCTATGACTCTTACCCCCTTCCATGTAGAACTGGTTCAGAAACTCAACATAGATGCATTTTCACTCATGCGTATAACATACTAAATATTACCATAATCTGAAGGTTTATCTTATTTGATTCATTCTGAAACTGGAATCACTGGTCAACGACTAACCATTTAAGAGGTACTTAGTCTTACAATATTTTTAAACTTTTATGATCAGAATGATAAAATTTCTGTCATTGAAAAAGGAAAGAACTAGTCATCAACAACTTGAAAATAAAGAGGATGAATTTTTAATAACTTATCCTCAGTTAATCGCTTAGCTTAACGAAGAATGTTTCAACCGAAAAAAAAAAAAAAAAAAAAAAATATCCCTTCTGTTCTTTTCGATGACGGCTGGAGACCTCAGTTGTACTGCAGTAAATATTCCTTGATTTAGAATGAAATATTATCATATCATTCAATTCTTTTTTTTCTTGGTAGCAGGACATTACTCTCTACGGCTCTGTTCAACTAGAATACATCATGGCTAACTGGAGCTATGGAAAATAAATATGATTTGACAGACTATTGAAGCAGCCCATACTTTTCTAGCTAGCATTGTGTTTCATTGCGCGATAACTAGCTGTGGGTTTCCTGTAATATTTATTAAATTTTTACTGGTATTAACAAAAAGATCTCTAAATGTAAAAACATTTTCGAAGCAGTAACTTGCTGTCTGTGTTCTTGAGGCAAGGATGTTGTTGCTATCAATGCTGATCTATAAGGAATGCTGTACTTCAGTAAACTTTGTAAATATTGAAAGACACAGACTTTAATCCTAACTATTGTTATCTCCATTTCCCTAAATAAGGAAAAAAATATATTTCTTCTCCGATGTCGTTTTCACATTGCTTTCAACGTCAATTTTTTTTTAAAAGTGGAACTAAGTGATCAATGAGATCTAATTATGACAGTAAGCGCGAAAC